ATTATATCCCTGGACACAGATCTAGGTTAGTGTCCCAGTCACAGTCATGGGGGAATATTTCATATAGTTTTATTCATAAAGTGTAAAAAGGTCAAACTGAATTCCTTCTAAACGAGAATATTAGAAGTATTTACTACAGCCAAACATAGCATTTGCCTGACAGATCCAAAACTGTTCAAATCCCTCTGTCATGCAGAATCATTCTATTAAGGAAAAAATATATTGGTTTGCTTTTCCAAACTGGCATGTTTTCCTGATCTGTTTGTTCAGCTTATAACCTGCAATATCAGATGGGGAATTCATCAAGGATGAAGTAAACAGTTGGTGCTGAGGCTGAGACCTCCAGATGCTCTGAACTGCCTTTTGGGAATGTCGCTTTCCCTGCTACCTCCACCCCCAGCCTAGGAAAATCAGCCTGCTGGTGCAGGGCTCAAAGCAGGCAGGGTAACAGACTGCATGCAGCCTTCACTTGCTGCAGGGTTGTGCCCTAGTGAGACTGGGATCCCCAGGGCATGAAACCATGCCTCTAACTAGGGAATCAGTGCCTCAGTGCTCTGCTCAGGCACGTGTAACAGTTAGACCATCTGAAGCACTGCTGGCACTGTTACCCCTCTGCTTGCACAGTGGGGCTTGTTTCTGGCAGGTATTCTTGACTGAGGAAAAAATTAGTTGCTTGAATTTTTTCTCCCTGCTGCTTTGAAAACCTATATGTTGTTCCATCATCACCAAGCAGTGATGCAATACCCTCAGTGAACACCATGGTGTCAGGGCATAGAGGATTTTAAATCATGGTGTCTGGACTGTAGTCTTTCCCCTTCTTATTTGCTGCCTGGATACTTTCTTCCTCCTTCCTTCTTCCCTCTCACTCTCCAGCTGTCTTTCTTTCCCTCCTTTCCCTTTATGAAAGGATAATTGTTCCCTCTCCATTTCTTTCTAAACTAAGGGGAGATACTGCATCTCCCAGTTACATTTAGTGTTTTGGCTCTAATCAAACCAAAACACACCCAAGGAGGCTTTTATCATGCTCTGGAGATCTTTATGTGACTCCAGGGACTAATAATGAATATTCAGCAGCTCAATTATGTACTATGGAAATAGAGGTGGATAACCCAGGGGAAAGAGAAATAAAAGGCCTAATCAAAGGAAAGAGATAACTTGAAGATAAATGTGATGGAACCGTGAAACAGAGAATTACAAAAGGCTTCTCCAGATTGCAGAGGCGTGGAGGAGAAAGCTTTTCCCTGTACAAGATAAAACACTGTGTGAAGAAGAGTCATAGTGGCCAGGAAAAAGTATTACTACCATCATAGTTATGGTCCTCCAATTAAATCATACCTTTACTCGACATTTGTCCTGTTGGGATTGGAGAGGTCCAGCTGCTGACCTGCCCCCAGATCTGGCTCATCTATCCCACTTAGAGCAGCTATTTAGGCAGCAAGAGCTGTCATAATCCCTGAGCACTTCCTTTTAAACCCAGGGTGTCCCTGTATGGAGCATGCCTGAGCTGGTCTTGCCTCTGCTTCCCAGAGAGTGGGAAACAAAGAGCAGACATCTGCTTGCTAGAACAGTTGAGCTGAAATGGCTGGTGCTGTCACATCCACGTTACCTGCAAGGAAAAGGAATATGCCCTCCCAGTCCCCCCTGAATCTGACCCCACAAATAACATATTTGAACCCCTTTTTAAAGCTTTTGAGCTAGATTAAATGGATTGTCCATAACAAAACCAGCAACAATGAGTAAAAAGGTTTCCTAGCTGAAAAAAAGTTCTGTTAATCCTGTTTCAGTGCTCTTTGCTGTTCCGTAAGGTGTCTGATTTAAATTCTATTTCCTTAACACATTAATAACAGGGCACAGTCTCAGGTAATTACTCTTTCTTTGCTGCTGGAAATTAAACAGGAAGAATTTGAGCCTCCTGTGCCTGTGAAGGGTTTGCTTGCTGGGTCATGGGGGACTGCAGTGAAATTACTTCACAGATTCTTCCTTGGTTTGGAATTTGTGAATGACCAGCAAGTGGTTTTCTGCCATCAATCAGGAGCTCTACTTTAACTGAATTATTTAAATGAGAGAACCAAATTCTGGTCTCGATTTCTCTTAAGAAAACTGTAAAGGTAAAATCTGCTTTCAGATTGAAATATGATGTTTTAGGATTTAGAGATGAACCTGAGGGGCCTTGCAACACACATTCCCCAATCAGCTACACTTTTGGGGAGCACCCCCAAGAGCCTCTCTGAATTTAGGAATTAAAAATCAAAATCCATTTACTCAAGTCCCAGAGCAGAGCAATTTGGACTTTGATTTCTTGTAGCAGCTTTTGGCTGATTTATGCTATGATTAAATTTTTTGTTGCTGATGATGCATTATGCATGCAATAGCTGATGAAGTAACATCACAGTAAAATCTAAAAATAGAGTCATTCAAGTATCTTTAAAAGAAAACCTGACATGAATACCAGCTCACACATCAATGAAACTGAGCTGCAAAGGCACATTCCTCTTATCCGCACTTCATGCAGAATTTAAAGCACAGACAGATCTCTGCTGTGCACATTTCTACCATCTAAACCTCAGAAGTGATTTGATTTGATTTAGTTTAATTTAATGAGACAGGAAGAGTGGTGAGGTGTACACAGAGCTCTTCTGTACAGCAGAGGTTGATAGTTTTGCCCATTTTGCCCTTCTCAGTTTAATGTGTTGCAGTTGGCTGTCGTGACTGCTCCTTAGCAGGTACAACCCCAAGTTAGGGGTAGCATTTCAAAACAGCTTTCATTTTCCCTCAAATAAAAGGATAAAATAACCTTATTGACATCAACTGATGAAAAAATCTTTCTCCCTTTCAAACTATAAGCAGTCACAGCCTGAACATTTGTTCTCTACCTGAATCATTTATTTTCTCCTTTGTTTGAAAGTGTGCACGGGAGGGTTCAGGGCTGAAGGCTGATTCCTACAACCTGCTTATTGGTGTCCTAGCAGAAGAACTGGCTGCCTTCTTGAGTAATTGGGGACCCCAAAACCCACTGTTTTGTTTCTGTCCCTTGAAATGGACACTTCTTAGAGGGGAACTTCATTCAGCCTCCTGATGAGGGTGACGAGGAAGGTAATAAGTGAGGGTGTGATCAGCTATAAAGAGCCACACACGTTTTGATCTGTATATTCACTGAGTGAATGTGCTCTGTGGGTGTGATATAGTTATGCAGACCATGACAGAGGATCCACACATTCTCGAGCAGCACAACACTTTAATTATGCTCATTTTGTGTAGCTTGAAAGGGGAAGAGCTGAGTAAAGAGATCTTAAAAATTACAGTAAAGGGGTTCTTCAAGTTTAGCCACAGAAGAATACAATAAAACAAGAAAACATGAATGCCAACTAAAGAAATGGAGATTGTTTGGAAAGAGAAGGGTGATGGAAGAATCAGTGTGACTTCTGGACTCTTCCCCTTCCAGCGACTAAGTGATTTTCAGATCTTTTCCAAGAGTGTGTTTTAATGTTTGCCTCCATACTGCCATCACTTTCCTTTTCTCCAGAGTTAACCCTGAAGAATACAGGTCTCTTTTTAAATAATGGTGCAATTTGGTGCAATTTGTTGTTTTGGTTTCAGTGTGATAGTAACTGCTGTCAGCTCATGGGGGTCAACAGCGGGCTTTGGTTTCGAACACAAAAGTTATAAACAGACCTGCCTATAAAGAGCACAGAGTGACCTTGCAGACATTGTGTACTGTGGTGATGTGTGCTTGCTCCTTGCTGAAGGGATTTATTTGTTTTACTTCTGTGTCTTCAGCAGTGAAAGGCTCTGACAGAATATCAATGCAATGGGTTATTTCTCAGGCATTTCAAGACACCCTTACCCTGCAATCGAGATTTCATCACTTTGAGACTTGAGAAAAAAGTATTTTTTTGCTTTTCCCTGTGCAGCACGTAGTGGCTCTAGCTGGCTCGTTTCAGGCACATCTGCAGCATTTAACTAAGCTTTCACTAATCCACAGAAGGAAAAGGTACAGGCTTTCATTAAGTGCCTGTAGAACAATTAGCCTCTTAACATTCAGTAAAGCAGAGATACAACTTTAATTATTTCATTTGCAGTTGCTACTTCCAGTGTGGTTTGTTTGGAATCACGCAGCTGTAGTAGTTAATGACTGCAGCACACCCAGAGAAAGCAACAGTTAGGTAGATGTGCTTGCAAGCAAAGCTATGTGCAACCTGTCTTCCTGCCATGCTTGATTCCTACCCTTTAAAACTGGTCAAATGAGGGCTCTACAGTGTCTGCTGCAACCTCCACGTTTAGTATTATAAACAGTGTTTAATGCATGCAGATTCACCCTCCCCATGGTGAGTAACAGCCTGTTATTTAATAGTATGTGACAGAACTGCTTCTTTTGCTCAAATTGTGTGGATCTCTACTTTCAGAGCTGAAAGCTCCGGGTTTATTTCCAGTTAATGACAGTAGCACTGGTGCCTGTGCACATGCATTATTTACATAGAAACAAAATTAAAACTTTGACAGAGGGGAATATTTTAGGTAGATTGTTTCTGCTTTCATGAAGCAGTGGGAAGCAGCGATGCCGTAACTGAGAGAATAACACAGTTAGATCCATCTTTGATACACCCAAAAGTGACAATGCAATTTTGCCAAGGGTCAAAGTATTCTAGACCTGTTCCTGAGTAATGAGCTAGCGATCCATCTCCCATCAAACAGGGTACTTCCACACTATGAAATTTTGAAAATTACATGGAATAACTGCATCCTGATAATTCTGTTTAAATTATTCACATCCATAGAAAAGATAGATCCATCAACCAGAGTGTCATTTATTTTTTTGTGAATCTGACAATCTAAATAGTATGCAGTCGAGATTGCAGTAACTTGGATTGCTTACTGGTTTTGTCCTACATTTATAGCAGCCAAATGAAAGCTTCTTTCTAGCCTCAAAAAGGCAGTTCTTCCCCGATCTGCTTTCTTAAACACTGGAAGAAAATATTTCCTTTAAAGCAGCCAAGACAAGAATATCAAACATTTATTGGGAAAATATTTGGGCTCCTGAAAAGTTAATAGAAAAACAAATCACTCTAGTATCAAACTCATATGCAATTTTCAATAGTTTTAGAAGCAAAATTTATGGGCATAATTATTGTAAAGTCTAGTCTATTATTGTGAAGGTAAAAAAAAAATATTCACCCATGCTCACACTATCTTCAAATGTGTTTTTATATTTAGACTCAGTTCTTAAAGTACAGCTGTTTACAAAGATTTAAGGTGAAAATCTTTTTCTGCTCTACTTCCTTCCCAGAAAATGGATTTTTCAAAGCAAATATTTTTTCAAGACTATCTATTTCAGGAAAGACGGCATTTCCACTCAATTATGTGAGACCACTTCCCCAGCAGTCCTCTGGGATATGAAAACCTAAAGACTGTTCTTAAACATACCTGATTCTCACTACTGCCCTCTGTTCTGAACGTTTTGTTTGTTTCTCCCCTTCTTCCTTGGACAAATCTGGGCTATATATGAATTGCTACACTTCTTCCATTTCTAAAATGAAACATTTTGAGTTCATTTTGATTTAACAGGTTAAATCCCGAGCTACTGAGATCAGCCATAATTTTGCTGTGGTTTTGAAACAGATACAACAGCTCAGAAACCTAATGGCGTAATGGATGGTCCAGTTCACTTAAGGTGTTAAGCTTGTGCTCCAACCTCATTCCACTTCAATGATCCTTGTCATGACTACTCCACCAATTTTGACTACCTGAAAAAAAAAAAAAAAGCATAATTTGCTGTTTCAAGGCAAAATATTTGGACCATTGGAGACACACCTGGAGAGAGCATTCTGACAACAGCCAGTCCCCAAGGGAGAGCAGTGTCCCCTGACTCCTTCCATAGCAGCCCAGGATCTGCACCCCTGAGGGTCTCACTGTAAGGGGAAAAGAGTCCTTTTAGATGGTGTGTTTGAGTAACTTGGGGGAAACATCAAATCCAACACTTCATCCCCCAACCTGCAAATCACTGACAGTCAGGTCACAGAACCATGGCTTGGTATGGTCTTGGGTAGACTCTTTACCAAGCTTTCAGTGTTTGGTGTAGCTCTAATAACATGTGAGGTGCAGAGAGAGAGTGGAAACCCCTGTCCTGCATTAGGGCACAAAGGGTTTAACTAAAAGCAGTCTGAAATTAGCTTGAGCCTGTGAGGTGTTTTAGTGATGCAGAATCACAATTCTCCCACTGGAACAGAATTGAAACGGAACATTTTCAAAGCTGATCTGGCCAAAAAGATCACTTGGGTATGGCCATATTTAGCTACTGCCAGCTCAGGAAAGCACCTGTGTGTATGATTACACAGTAGCAGGTGCTTCAGAGTGACCCTAAATAAGGACAAAGCTGAAGATCTAAGGGCTCTATGGGCAACTGGGCTCTGACACAGCACTTAGTTCAGTGTTTATGAACAGAAAAGCAGTCAGATATGACACAGAGTAGCAAATTATGTTTATAATAAAAAAGGCGATACATTCCCTTATTTTTCAGACCATGTTTCAGTTCTACTGGATTCTCAGCACAAGTGAGAATTACACTGGAGGGCAGAAGTCTGCTGCTGCTGGATAACAAAGCCTCCCTAAGTTTGATAGCTGAATAATTAAGAAAGACAGTGCTTCCGTCAAGACTCTTTTAGCCATGAATTGCTTCAGTGCTATATTTACAGCTGTTACATAACCTTAAAGGTTGCTTTTGATATAATGAAGAAACCCAGCAGGTTGCCAGCTTAAATAATATTTCACGTGTGTGTTAAAATGAGTTATCCATCCCTGTTCATTTGTATTGTTACAGTCCTGGGACTTGGACAATCTTAATTTTGGTTTGTTTACAATTTTATAATAAATTTTGCTGCAGTATGAAGCTAAATTTTTTTTTAATAATGATGCATATTGGATTATTATTCAAAAGTAGAAACAAAAAATCAACAGATGTAACAGATATATTTAAACTAATTACCAACACATCACAGCAGAAACAGGCACATGGAGCGTGGATTCTTTTTCCTCTACCAACCATCTGATCCATGCCTGTGATCATTAATTTAGCACATGCCGAATTGTATTTTCAAATACATCTCAAAACAAATGAATATGTTCTTAGGTTTTCAGATTCCAATCATTCTGCTGGACCCTGACAGCCAGCAGCATTATTTATCAGTGAAGTGTGTAATGGTCCAATTCTGCAGATGTTGAAATTATTACACGATGGTTGCATCTTGTCAGCAATCACTGAATATCCAGAGTGAAATTTAACAGCTGCCACAAATGGAACTCAATTTAGATTTACAGTAAGAGGTAGGTGGTGGGGCAAAGGAGGGAAGGAGATTCAGAGCACACCCTTGCCAAGGGGTTTGGTAAGCAGCAACTTCTGAGTCGTTTTTTAATCTCTTACCAGGAAATACTTGCAACTCCCCAGTTAAATTATAACAAATGCAGATTGAACTGGGACTTGCACAGCAAAAAATCTGTGCTAGAGCTTCAGTTTAAAACATGTAATTCTGAAGAAGAACTAGGCAATAACAACTCCTGAACAGTGTGAAACAGAGCAAATAAAATATGAATAAATGTACTTCCACGAGCTGTTCCCCTCACATTAACGAGACGACACTCAGGAGTCTGGTTACTTGCATTAACAAGATGTGCAGTTTGCAACGTTTGTTGGAAAGGAAAACTGTCTGTCTTTCACATGCAGAAACTGCATATTTTTATGCTTTAGTTAAGGTCATTGCAGAAGTGGTTTCTGAGTCATGCAGCTTTTTATTTCTTTAGCAACGATATTACCACAAGGAGAGACAATAAAATTACATGAAGGACAGCATAAATATTTGAACATTAATATTGGCAGGAAAGATACATTTAGTGCTGCCTGCTGACTGTTCTAGGGTCTGAAAAAGTAGACTGGCAGGTTGCAGCTGAGGGAGATGCTGACATTTGTGCAGAGAGGGGTTATTAGTTAGTGTTGGGCAGGTAAGATGAAACTTTTCTAGTAACAGTAGGTGCTATCCTGTCTCTAAAGCTTCTCTGAGGCTCTAAGCTTGCATCTCTAATGCAACACAGCTCTCTGTCTGCTTTCTTTAGCTATACCACTCAGCTTCTGAGATGATGGGAAAAGAATGGACAAAACATGATATCGAGGAGACCAGTGAGATGGTTCCTAATGCACCTATAATCAATGGCATCATTGATAGCTGAAAGGGAAAATAAAATCCCTAGTAACCCAAGCACATAGGATTGACCTGTATCTGCTTTCTAATACCTATCTGACTGTAGTAATGTAGACCCTATCAACTTAGACTTTATAAAGTTGATCTTCACAAGAAGGGAAGGAAGGAAAGAAGAAATAATTATTCCTGCATTTTATATAGAAAATTGAGATATATAAAGATAGCATTGTGAATCTCCTCCAAACCAGGGAATAAGAACAGATTACAAGAGGCCCAGGTTGTTTTAAAGAGCTGGTGAGATCTTTACGTTGGGATTGACCGAATGCCTGGCAGAAATGCAACTTCTCCCCACTCCATCTGACTACTGTCCAAAGAGACATCTACCTCAATAGACAGAACTGTGCACTCCAGCTTGGGTGGGCCCTCTGGAGGGTGTGTGGAATGAGAAAGATACGAATGTTTGTCATTGGGAATTATTCCTCCGTCAAGCAGCACCACAGTACAAAACATTTTAAGATCAGCCATTACCCACCCCAGCCCTTCCCTCAGTGGCCTTTGTGAGGCCGTCTCACGACCTCACCCCTGTGAAAGCACAAAGCTCACAGTTTCTCAACCCCCTCAGCTTTCCTTAGCCCAGGGGACCTGCCATTTCCACAGCTCCCCCTCATCTCAGGTGTCCTGATTCCTTCCCAGAGAAGGAAGGGCACCGAGTGAGGGGCACCGTGGCAGGCACCTCCACCTGGTACACAGTGTGAGCATTTTTATCAGACCCTGCTTACAGCCAGGGTGGGCAGCCAGGCAGCAGTGGTGAGGAGAAACTCCCAGTGTAGCCATCCGTGCCTTCGAGAGAGGGATGGATTGCTCTTGCTGGCTGCTCTTCAGGAACACTCACTGTCACCAAATCCTCTGCTTCAGCCTGGCATGGAGGGTTTGCTGTGTGCCCTGCAGCTCCCCAGCCCATGTGCTTCGGGCACGAAAGGGGGAGGGCTGCAGGGTTGCAGATCTGCCACACAGATGTTCCTTCCCTTCAGCCTGAGACTGACCCTGCGCCAAAGTGCCACAGGAGTGATCTCATTCAGCCCCTGCCTCCACAGGCTCTGCTCAGCCTCTGCCCCTGTTAATACAGACCAGTTTGAGAACTGCAGGCAGGAAGGTGGGTGGTAGCTAGGGGGAAGATTAAGAAATAGCAAGCTGAGGTTTAAGAACAGTAAGAGAAAGTGTGAGGTCTTAGATATTTTAAAGTACAGTTCACACAAGGAACCTTCAAAATAGTAGTTTTCCAGGCAGATGCAGCACACCATAATCTTGTACAAATACTCCAGCCCTTCTGCAGCCCAGAGATAATTTAGAAGGAAGGTATATTAAGTATCCTGGCATTGCTTTTTTAATAGCTGTGAAAGCCTCTTTGCATCTCTTCAAACACGAGCTGCTTATATGGGAAAACTGACTAAGCTGCCTTTTGTTTTCAGGCGAGTTCTACGGTGGAGAGGCTGTGGAGGATCAGGCTGTGAGGCAAAAAACAAACACCCCCTCCACATGGCTAGGCTACAAGCACGCTGATATGTTAGTATATCCATATTCAAAATTCTATACCTAGCAGGGCAAAGACTGCAGACTGCAAGGATGTGACAGCTAAGAACTGTTAAGCTTTTCAGGGCCAGAGTCCACAACTTTAGACTAACAGCTCTAAACATAAAAATCCCCTGCCTTCTTTGCATGCCATGCAGACTGACTGTTGGCCAGGTCTCATCCTACTGCACGGTGGGCTTCAGCTTCAGGCATCAAGAGCTTGCCTCAGTTTTCAGAGATATTATAATAGGAGAAGGAAATGAATAACAAGCAGTTGTGGAAAGGTCTGGGGTAAGAAGAGTAGTGGGAAGCTTTAACACAAATTACTGTGCTCTTAATTCCCAGTCAAGAGGTTTGGTGGCAATGCACAACCTGTTCAGGCAGCTTCTGCCTTAAGCTAAAGTGGGTTTTGAGATGAGGCTGAGGTGCATGCAGGTTGATAGGCTTAAAACTTTTCAAATTATCTAACACTCACAAAAAAAAAAAAAAAGAAAAAGGTATCAGAAAGGAATTTGAAGCAGGGAAGAGTACTTAACAGTACAGCCACCTAAAGAGCAAAGGAAGGAGCCAACCTAGCTGCTAACCAATAAGGACAGATAGGGCAGAAGTAACTGGAGATCTTTGAAGATTATGAAGATAAACTGGCTTATGGTCTAGGGAAGGAGGAGGTGTGAGGAATTTTCAGACCCAGAGTAACAGGTTGGGATGGCACTTGCAGAATTAGTTTTGCTTTAGACAATACAGGAAATATCACCCGGTCTGGACAAAAAGAAGCAGGTCCACAGCAAATTGTCAGCCAAACGCAGCTCCCCACTCATAGAGTTCTTCTCGTTGCTGCCACCCAACCTGACGGTGTCCTGCCCAGTGCAGTGTTTGCACTAATGCATTGCTGCTGGAAGCCCATTCTGAACAAAACAAACCACCTCCACATGCACAGACAAAACTGAGTCTGAGCCAGACAAAACTGAGTCTGCTCATCTCCCTGC